AAACATGACTTTCTCCTGGTATCATGTCTCACAATCATAGGTGGAGCTGAGGTCACTGCTCTCAGAATGGTGGGAGATGTGTTGAAAGGTCAGTCATGGTTCTTGTTATAAGTGGTGACACTGATCTATTGATTGCTATCAATATTTGCCTGCAGTTCCACTCTGTACCTGAGAACCTTAGAGTGATGGATGGCCACATCAAATCCTTGTTGCCTTCAGTCATGCGTAGTCAGAGAGTACAGCATATTCTGCTGTGTAGAGTACAGCACTAATTAGTGTGAGTATATGAAGGTCATGCACACGAAATGGCTGCTGTATCTGCTGACTGGATCACAACACCAGGAGAATTCTAGGTACAATACGTTCTAATGTAAGACACAGCTACAATAAAACACCCCAATCCACTCACTCACTCACTCACTCACTCACTCACTCACTCACTCACTCACTCACTCACTCACTCACTCACTCACCAACTCACTCACTCACTCACTCACTCACTCACACAAACACACCTCCCACATGGCCACATGGTCAGCCGGAGTCAACCCCTTGTCATAACCCATCATAACCCTTGTTCTCTTTACTTCTTTATTGTTTAACACAGCACTCAGCAATATTTATTTGATTTATATAATGGCCATCTCGGACACCATCTCGCACAACATGATGCAAAATAACCAGGAACAAATATTTTGGTACCTGCCACAAAATATCTCTGTAAGAAGTACTAAACACACTTTTAACACACTGTCCACCTTTACGCTATGCTAGAAAATACAATTGGACCTAACGTTTTGGAGTGTAGACTTATGCCTTCATCACCTGACATTTCTGATGTCCCCAGCCGTGATATTGCTGGAATATTGCTAAAAGCGACGTAAAACCCAACTCACTCACTCACTTCATCACCTGCTAAAGGAGTATGTATATGCTGTGAAACATTGTGTTCCTCATAATAAAGAAGTTGACATCCATAAAATTCTCTCCCTTACATGCATCATATGTAAATGCCATTCGAAGACCAGATGGACCTGTTGTGGCTTTAAATAAAGTGCTGCACAATCTGCATCCTTATCAACTTACATACTAACTGCCCCCAAATAATTGTCATCAACAGATACAGCAGTGACCTACTCACTGCTCAACACAGGGGAGGAACAATGTGTAAAGTATTCATTACAAACCACACCGCAGAGTCTGCTGAGGCCAAGTTGAAATAATAAGAATAAAAAATACTGTACTTGATATAGTCCATTTAATTTATCTCCCAATTCTGAAGGTAGAGTGTTGCATTACATGCAGCAGGTTTCAAACCCTACAGGCTTTTATTCTGTGTACAGCTTATAGGCCAGGGTATGTCAGGACATGTACTGTGACAGATACATATTCTGTGTACAGCTTATAGGCAAGGGTATGTCAGGATATTGTGACAGATACATATTCTGTGTACAGGATATGTAGGCCTGGGTATGTCAGGATGTGTATTGTGACAGATACATATTCTGTGTACAGCTTATAGGCCAGGGTATGTCAGGACATGTACTGTGACAGATACATATTCTGTGTACAGCTTATAGGCCGGGGTATGTCAGGACATGTACTGTGACAGATACATATTCTGTGTACAGCTTATAGGCCAGGGTATGTCAGGACGTGTATTGTGACAGATACATATTCTGTGTACAGCTTATAGGCCTGGGTATGTCAGGACATGTACTGTGACAGATACATATTCTGTGTACAGCTTATAGGCCAGGGTATGTCAGGACGTGTATTGTGACAGATACATATTCTGTGTACAGCTTATAGGCCAGGGTATGTCAGGACGTGTATTGTGACAGATACATATTCTGTGTACAGCTTATAGGCAGGGTATGTCAAGGGCGTGTATTGTGACACATATTCTGTGTACAGCTTATAGGCCTGGGTATGTCAGGACATGTATTGTGACAGATACATATTCTGTGTACAGCTTATAGGCCTGGGTATGTCAGGATGTGTATTGTGACAGATGTATTCTGTGTACAGATATAGGCATATTCTGTGTACAGCTTATAGGCCAGGGTATGTCAGGACGTGTATTGTGACAGATACATATTCTGTGTACAGCTTATAGGCCAGGGTATGTCAGGACGTGTATTGTGACAGATACATATTCTGTGTACAGCTTATAGGCCAGGGTATGTCAGGACATGTATTGTGACAGATACATATTCTGTGTACAGCTTATAGGCCTGGGTATGTCAGGACGTGTATTGTGACAGATACATATTCTGTGTACAGCTTATAGGCCTGGGTATGTCAGGACGTGTATTGTGACAGATACATATTCTGTGTACAGCTTATAGGCCTGGGTATGTCAGGACATGTATTGTGACAGATACATATTCTGTGTACAGCTTATAGGCCTGGGTATGTCAGGACGTGTATTGTGACAGATACATATTCTGTGTACAGCTTATAGGCCTGGGTATGTCAGGACGTGTATTGTGACAGATACATATTCTGTGTACAGCTTATAGGCCAGGGTATGTCAGGACGTGTATTGTGACAGATACATATTCTGTGTACAGCTTATAGGCCAGGGTATGTCAGGACATGTATTGTGACAGATACATATTCTGTGTACAGCTTATAGGCCGGTGTATGTCAGGACTGTATTGTGACAGATACATATTCTGTGTACCAGTTATAGGCCAGGGTATGTCAGGACGTGTATTGTGACAGATACATATTCTGTGTACAGCATATAGGCCTGGGTATGTCAGGACGTGTATTGTGACAGATACATATTCTGTGTACAGCTTATAGGCCAGGGTATGTCAGGACGTGTATTGTGACAGATACATATTCTGTGTACAGCTTATAGGCCAGGGTATGTCAGGACGTGTATTGTGACAGATACATATTCTGTGTACAGCTTATAGGCCAGGGTATGTCAGGACGTGTATTGCTGACAGATACATATTCTGTGTACAGCTTATAGGCCTGGGTATGTCAGGACGTGTATTGTGACAGATACATATTCTGTGTACAGCTTATAGGCCAGGGTATGTCAGGACGTGTATTGTGACAGATACATATTCTGTGTACAGCTTATAGGCCAGGGTATGTCAGGACGTGTATTGTGACAGATACATATTCTGTGTACAGCTTATAGGCCAGGGTATGTCAGGACGTGTATTGCTGACAGATACATATTCTGTGTACAGCTTATAGGCCAGGGTATGTCAGGGCGTGTATTGTGACAGATACATATTCTGTGTACAGCTTATAGGCCAGGGTATGTCAGGACGTGTATTGTGACAGATACATATTCTGTGTACAGCTTATAGGCCAGGGTATGTCAGGACGCAGTGTATTGACAGATACATATTCTGTGTGACAGCTTATAGGCCAGGGTATGTCAGGACATGTATTGTGACAGATACATATTCTGTGTACAGCTTATAGGCCAGGGTATGTCAGGACGTGTATTGTGACAGATACATATTCTGTGTACAGCTTATAGGCCTGGGTATGTCCAGGGTATGTCAGGGCCTGGGTATGTCATTGTATTGTGACAGATACATATTCTGTGTACAGCTTATAGGCCTGGGTATGTCAGGATGTGTACTGTGACAGATACATATTCTGTGGGTATGTCAGGACTTATGTGACAGATACATATTCTGTGTACAGCTGGCCTGTATGTCAGGACGTGTACTGTGACAGATACATATTCTGTGTACAGCATATAGGCCAGGGTATGTCAGGATGTGTATTGTGACAGATACATATTCTGTGTACTAACAGCTTATAGGCAAGGGTATGTCAGGATGTGTATTGTGACAGATATATATTCTGTGTACTAACAGCTTATAGGCCAGGGTATGTCAGGACGTGTATTGTGACAGATACATATTCTGTGTACAGCATATAGGCCAGGGTATGTCAGGATGTGTATTGTGACAGATACATATTCTGTGTACAGCATATAGGCCAGGGTATGTCAGGATGTGTATTGTGACAGATTCATATTCTGTGTACAGCTTATAGGCCAGGGTATGTCAGGACGTGTATTGTGACAGATACATATTCTGTGTACAGCATATAGGCCTGGGTATGTCAGGACTTGTATTGTGACAGATACATATTCTGTGTACTAACAGCTTATAGGCCAGGGTATGTCAGGACGTGTATTGTGACAGATACATATTCTGTGTACAGCATATAGGCCAGGGTATGTCAGGACGTGTATTGTGACAGATACATATTCTGTGTACTAACAGCTTATAGGCCTGGGTATGTCAGGATGTGTATTGTGACAGATACATATTCTGTGTACAGCTTATAGGCCTGGGTATGTCAGGATGTGTATTGTGACAGATACATATTCTGTGTACAGCATATAGGCCTGGGTATGGCAGGATGTGTATTGTGACAGATACATATTCTGTGTACTAAACAGCTTATAGCCCTGGGTATGTCAGGACGTGTATTGTGACAGATACATATTCTGTGTACAGCATATAGGTCAGGGTATGTCAGGACGTGTATTGTGACAGATACATATTCTGTGTACAGCTTATAGGCCAGGGTATGTCAGGACGTGTATTGTCACAGATACATATCGAGATGCTTGCCCATGAAATCCACCCTGTTCCTGGGATATCCTCTCTTTATTCTGTTCATGTTTAAGATGAATGACTGGTTAAGTGTAGTTGGTGGTGATGGTTTTCTACACTGATTATATGTTACATATGTTATATTTAGGATTTCTCTTTCTTAGTAAAGCACAGATTGAGTTCCAGGTTTCTACTGATTCCCTGTTACATATGTCCTGGTATGTAGTGAGCACCGCGTGACGAGGAAGTTATCAGGCACAGCTCTCAAATAATATAGTACTTCAATAATCATTACTATACAGACACATGCATCAACACATGGATACGGAATAGCATGTATCGTGTCGTGGTGTATGAAGCTGGTTAAAGGTGACGGCTGGCAACACTTACCTCATGTATAGTGAATGCTGATCCTGCCAGTGAGTAGTCCTGCACCAGTAGTGTACAGTGGTTCCGCCTGACAATCAGCTGACTACTAGAGCCCCTGCAGCAGGGTGTAGGGAGAACACAGACCACTTATTGCTGGGGTTGGCACTACAGAGTTAGTGATAATAATGTCCACTAGTGGTACTATGACACATCACACAGGACTGCTGAGGCCTCAGTTCATGTCATGATGATCAGATTGTGTTGTCGTGTTGTGGCACAACAGTGGCCCGGTGTCTCCACACAACGGATGACGGCAGACCCACATCACAGCATCTTCATGACAGCATATCCTGCAGTGTCAGCCAGCATCGGCAACAGCATCTATGGAAACGGAGTACAGACAAACATCATCACTGCCCATGCAAGCCCTGCTGAATTTCTGCGGTCCTAATTGTGTTGAGGAAGCTGGCTTTTGTTCCCATGCTAGTGAGTGTTGTGAGACTGCTAGCGAGGCTGTTCCATTGTCTTCAGCACAAGACGCGACACTGCCTGATGTATGAATGGAACTGGACATCCACACGATCTCTCCATCCTCAGAACAGGATTACCAGCAAATTCTCATTGATCTGTATGTCCACTGTCACACGACATGCAACTCACACATTAGATTGAGCCACAAGTAAATCCACACCACAATTTGTTAATTCAATGAGCTGTTTCAAAGGCACTGCAGACAATATGGTTCACTCGCTTTGTTCACTCAAGCAGAACCAGTCAGGAATCCCCCTTGACATTGTTTTCTATACACTTGGGCATAAACACACATGGTATCCACACAATAACATACATCACGGATCAGGCAACACATGAAGCATCATGGCTTATCCTCATAATGTATGCCCGTCTGCCATCGCGGCTCGGCACCAGTTCAATACATTCTGCCATTCTTAGACTGCTGGCTATCAGGCATGGCGGGTAGTGGAGGATGGAGCATATTCCATGGCAGGAGGGTCTCGACTTGCAGGAGAAGTCTGAGTCAGGGAAGGGGGACTTGTCTACTGCCGTCTGCTATTGATTAGCCATCGTGATTACTCCTTCCATGTTTCTTTAGTTGTGTGTTGATCAGGACACATCTGCTGCTCAAATCGCATCAATGGCTGCAATCACCGTTCCCTTCAATCAGTTCCAGGCCCTGATTCCTCCAGCACTGAGCACCAGTCTTCAGTCGTTCAAACCGTTTCTCTGTTTCTTCATACACTTGTTTCCCGACTCCAGCAATCCGTCTCTCCTGGCTGACATGAGTAAATTCTATTACTACGTGATCTATAATTGGTCAGTGAATTGTTCCACGGAACTGTCACTCCTGGTTGCAGTTGTCAGAGTGTGTACACAGTGTTTATACAATTGATCATTGTAATTCAGCGTACACATCCTTGATCATAGTGATGTTGGAAACAGTGTTTACATCCTTGATCATATAGTGATGTTAGAAACAGTGTTTACATCCTTGATCATATAGTGATGTTAGAAACAGTGTTTACATCCTTGATCATATAGTGATGTTGGAAACAGTGTTTACATCCTTGATCATATAGTGATGTTGGAAACAGTGTTTACATCCTTGATCATATAGTGATGTTAGAAACAGTGTTTACATCCTTGATCATATAGTGATGTTAGAAACAGTGTTTACATCCTTGATCATAGATGTTGGAAACAGTGTTTACATCCTTGATCAGTGATGTTGGAAACAAAGATAGTAGATAAAGATAGAACAATAGACCCCTTGGCAGGGTACGTGTGGTGTATGGAAGCATATACTGTGATAAAGATAGAACAATAGACACCTTGGCAGGGTATGTGTGGTGTATGGAAGCATACACAGTGATAAAGATAGAACAATAGACCCCTTGGCAGGGTACGTGTGATGTATGGAAGCATGCACTGTGATAGTGATAGAACAATAGACACCTTGGCAGGGTATGTGTGGTGTATGGAAGCATACACAGTGATAAAGATAGAACAATAGACACCTTGGCAGGGTATGTGTGGTGTATGGAAGCATACACTGAGATGATAAAGATAGAAACACAATGATAAAATAGAACACCTAGGCAGGGTGGTGTATGTGCATACACAATATAAGATAGAACAAGGCATATGTGTGGTGTATGTGATAAAGATAGAACAATAGACACCTTGGCAGGGTGTGTGGTGTATGGAAGCATACACTGCCTGATAAAGATAGAACAATGAACACCTTGGTATATATCGGAAGCATACACAGTGATAAAGATAGTGAGAGAGTTTATGTTTACACTGCCAATAGACACCTCAGCAATATTCCAGCTATATGGCGGCGGTCTATAAATACACAGTGAGTCAGTGAGTCTTTTGACCAGACATTCCAGTGATCAACAGCATGACCATTGATCTGCGGAATTGGGAACCAATGTGTCAACCAAGTGAGCGAGCCTGACCACCCGATCCCGTTAGTCGCCTCTTACGACAAGCATGGGTTACTGAAGGTTCATTCTAACCCGGACCTTCATGGGTGCATACACAGTAATAAAGATTTGTTGTGTCTCTGCAAACTTTATTAAAAATGACACAGATGTTTGTAGAATAATTAAATTCTTTGCTGTCAATGACACAAAATCAATCCATCTGCCAGTGACTGTGAGAGACTGGGTTGAAATGTTGAATATCACATCTGCCAAATGTCCACCATCATGAGACAGGGATCAGTGGAGGAGATATTCTATTATTGTACATGACCTACACATTTGTCTCAGGTATCTGGCCACATGTTTTCAAGGTGTTTATTTCAGCCTTCATGATATAACCAGGTTTTGATTGTCACGTAAGTGATGATGTCACATTCACATATTTCCTGTGGACGCCAGGTTTGGATGATCATATTCTATTTGGAGGAAATGGGCAGGAACCATGCACAATGTCATCATTTTAGAACATGCATTTGAGAAACCATGCACAATGTTAACAATGCCCATTTGAGAACCATGCACTATGTTATCATTTGAGAACCATGCACAATGGTAACAATCCCCATGTGTCATCATTTGAGAACCATGCACAATGTTAACAATCCCCATGTGTCATCATTTGAGAACCATGCACAATGTTAACAATCCCCATGTGTCATCATTTTAGAACCATGCACAATGTTAACAATCCCCATGTGTCATCATTTGAGAACCATGCACAATGTTAACAATCCCCATGTGTCTTACTGCTTAGCCTGTTACCACCCAGTTCTAGTTAGTTCAGCTAAATTTCATTGTTTTATTGTATTGTGGATTATGAATTTGCCTGCACAAATTTTACCATATCAATGTCCTGAGAACTGTCTTTATTTTCCCTCTTTACAGAAATTCAGTCATGCAATATATTAAAATAAATAATGCAAGGTCTTGTTAGCTCCCTTTCCTCTTTTAAAGAATACAATTTCTATGTTTCACTCACCTGACCAATTATATACTTTTGAAAAATTGATTGAAAACCATTTACACCTCACAACCTTGGAGGGAATTCTAAACTGGCAAGAACAGGAACAGCTTTGTTAATTATTACTTCAATGCCTTTAATGAAGAAATAATGGTATTTATATCACTTTCTGTTGTATTTTTTATGCATTTCCTTAGAAATGAGTGATATAAATTTGTCTCAGTGTGCGGAGTTTAGTCATCTGTGTTGTGTGTGGGATGTTTAATGACTCAGTATCTCTGACAGTTCTCAGCGGAGTTAGTTCCAGGATGGGCTTTGAACATTCATGCAGTGTAAGGAACATGTTTATACTGTAAGGAACATATTCATGTATTGTAAAGAACATATTCATACAGTGAAGAAAATATTCATACAGTGAAGAAAATATTGGTTCAAACATATTTTTATTTCTAGAGAATCTGGTTTGGTAAACAAGCAGAACTCTGCTTATATCAATACCTCACCAGTATGTATATCATTTAAACAAAATACACAGGAACTGGATACAAAAAACGACAAATTAAATCATATATGTGCGTTGTAGGTGCTTATAAAACCTTGAGCTTGCAGCTACACTTCATTAATTGATTGCATATAATTGTCTAGAATAATTTATCAAATCATTTTGATTTAAAGATGTATTGGTGCAGAGACTCTATTATGTTCTTATTGACATTGTTGTTTGCCAGAGGTATTCCATATAACACAGTTTGGAGATTGTGGCTATTTACATAGAAGTAGGTATTATTTCTAACAGCAGTATATAACTTACATGTAAAAAGATAATGAACAGTATCTTCATTGTGGTATCCACAAGCGCATTCAGGGTTGTTAGAAATGTGTCTATTTACTTTATCCGCATTCAAATCATTACAGCCGAGCTTAAGTCGACAGTGTACGATCTGACAGAATCGACTGCCATAATTTAGATCTAGATAATTTTTTGATTCATCATTTTTAAGCAGAGATTTGAATTCACTGATTGAGTTAGCGAATACTAAATTATCAGGTAATGAATTCCAAATTTTAATTGTGTCAGGTAGGAGCAATTTTTCATATATTTTAGTCCTACAATTTATTGTTTGTAACTTAAGTTTATTACAGAGATTATATTGACTGTTTTCAGAGACAAAGTTAGGGACAAGGTCACAGAGGTCGTCAGGTGCGAGATCGTTATTCATCTTGTAAACAATTATTAATGTAATGTCGCACCTTCTTTCTTTTAGGGGTTTGGAACCTATTTAACCTATGATGACTAGTGCCACGAACTGCGCCGCATGTTGTACGAAGTGCATCTAGATGTAACCATTCAAGAATGAGGGACTGATCATTTGTACAATTATCCCAGATATGACAACAATAGTCAAATATCGGCATCACAAACGATTTTAACATGGTTTCATAGCGTTTTTTCTGGAGAGGCGATATTTAAAACTTTGGAGACAATTTATCATGGGGCTAACTTTTTTAACAATGTCCTCAATATTACTTTTTCATCCACAATCACTCTGTAGGGTTATACCTAGGTGTTTATGACTTTCCACTTCTTGTATCAGGGTTTGGTTCATGTTCAAGGTTGGAATTGTGTCATTTTTATGTTTACGAGAAAAATTTATTGTTTCGGGATTTATCAGGGTTGAAGGTAACTTGCCACTTGTCTGCCCAGCTAGATATACGGTTTAAATCATCATTCAGACAGGATGCGGCAGTATCGTGATCATCTACAATTACGTAAAGTAAGGTGTCGTCAGCAAATAAACATATGTGGCTCTTTATACCATCTACTAAATCATTTATGTATATAATAAAAAGTAAGGATCCCAATACAGAACCTTGTGGGACGCCAGCAACAGCACAGGTTTATAATCGGAACTGTATCCATTAATGACAACTTTTTGTGATCTGTTTTGTAAATAACTTTCAAACCAATTCAAAAGTGATCCACCAATGCCATAGTTTTTAAGTTTAGAAATGATGCCCTTGTGCCATACCTTATCAAATGCCTTACTAATGTCACAAAAAACAGCTCTGACCTCTTTACCTTCATCAAGTCCTTTCGCTATAAAATCATAGTAATAAGTTTATTGGTTAGCGGTAGAGTCGCCTGGCATAAAACCCGATTGTAAATTGGTTAAAATATCATTGTGTGACTCTCTAAAGTAATTAAATACATGTTTAAAAACACATGTTTCCAAAACTTTAGACAAACAGCTCGTCAGTGCGACCGGTCGGTAATTGGAACGTTCATTTACACTATTTTTTTAATGGGGAGGCATGACTGACGCTTCCTTCCAGACGGCTGGAAACGTGAATTTCTGAAGAGACAAGTTAAATAATTTTGTTAATAGAGGAGCTAAACTTTTCGCCATGTCTTTTCGTCTCTCCCAGTGCAAGTTGACAACTTTGTTTCTGACTAATCGGAAATTAGCCCAATCGGAACGACGGTTTCGATTTTTAGCTTTTTTAGGAAAACGGTTATACTTCCGCATTGCAGAACGGATTTCACTATTCATCCATAAGGGATCTTTAGCTCTAACATTGACCAGTCTGTTTGGTGTACTGATGTTTAATATGTACTTTATTTTTTCCATTAGGATTTCTACTGCAGTGTCAATATTACAAGAGGAAAATATTTCTTTTTCATCAATTTCGTTAAGATGTCTTTGAAAACACTCTTTATCCATAGATTTAAAATCGTACACGAGTCTTTTAATAACAACATCAGTTTTGGTAATTTTATCTTTTACCGTTAAGAAAATTGGACAATGATCACTGCATATGGGATCGAGTATGCCTGAGCTAAGCATGCTATTTTCATGGGTAACAAAAAGCAAATCAATTAAAGTCCTAGAGCTATGCGTAATTC